GAGAGCCGCCGTGACGCGAAAAGCGCGCGCCCCCAGCTCCGCCCCCCGGCGCGCGCGCGGGAAGGAGGGATGAGGAAGAGGAGGCGGCCGCGAAGGCTGCGGGAGGCGCCGGAAAAGGCGGTTTTCGGGCAGCCGAGAAGAAAACACGCTCTCATAATGCGGTTTTGGTAAATCGGTTACGTCTTTTTTTTTTCTCCTTCCCCCCTTCAAGCATTAGGTGAAGCAGTCACTATTTTAAAGTTTAAGTACAAGTTTTGAAGTTTTAAGTATCTCAGTCCAGTTTGGAAACTCTCTGCAAAGAGCTGTTACTGGTAACTCATCAGACGAGGACTTCTGGACTTCCCCGAATCAACTCGGTGTGGAAGCAGGCGTGGGCTTGGCAGAAATGCCCTTTCTCCAGCCTTCTGCAACCAGCTCTTTAAAAGCAGAACTTGCCTTTGCCAGTGTGTCCACRGATAAACTTTCCAGAAAAACACCCCAAACAAAAAAGACACCACCACATGTACATCTACAGTCTCAAGTCCCTTTCATGAGCTTTCTGAGGTGACTCTAGATATATCCATCCGTCAGATTTCATCCCTGAGGCAARGAAAAACCGAGAGTTACTATCACAGGTCTGCCCTGGGCTCGGTGACAAAAATGGACACAGATAGAGCACTTGGGAAAGCGAATTCCAGTCAGTCTGTGATCCCTATCTATCTACTGTCCTGCTGGGCCTTACCAGCTAAGCCTCCTTCTTCTCTTACAAACAGCATCTGCTAAAATTCCAGAAATCTCTTTCAGTAATGCCAGGAGTCAAGGAAAGCAAGGTCACAGGGATAGCGGCGAGGAGAGACGCGTTCCTCGAGGGAGAGCGAGTTTTTACCGAGGCCACTGCTTTTCCTTATCTGTCAGAGGAACGTAGATGACCCCCATGAGCTGGGTTTCGACGATCTGCCCGTCGCTGGTTTTGTCGTACTGCATCAGGACCTGGTTTGCACCCTCGGGACCAACGGGCAGTATCAGCCGGCCCCCCGGCTTCAATTCGTTCAGTAACTGGCAAGCAAAGAAATCAGCGTCAGCCCCACAAAACACCTGCCTGCCCCCCAAAACAACAAATAAAGAGGCAACAGAAGTGAAACGAGTTGGAAGCTTCAAAGGCCATGACACCTTCCAAGGCACAAGGCTGACAGCTCCACATAAAGAGCTGGCACATGGACCGAAAAAGATGATTCCTATGGCTCCCAAATTACCAGTTTTTATTGCAGCCACTGATAAAGGCAGCTACCACCGAGCGCGATTGTTCTCACCTCCTTGGGTACGGTCGCTGCTGCTGCTCCAACATGAATGGCATCATAAGGAGCCTCTTCGGGGTACCCCTGCCGGCCATCTCCAACTACAAGTGGGGAAAAAGCAGGCAGGATCAGCCCTGTTCTGACAGACCCGCAGCCACACACAGTTTAACCCTCTGGAGAGGATCTCCYCCTGCATTAAGACAGTCACCACACACTCCACAGTAAGATATCTGGCAAGACTACCCTTAAAATTAAACATTCTTGCTCATATTACAGTGTAAAAACAGTACTCAGCCAGGGGTTTCTGGCAACGTTGTGACAGGCAACTCAGTCCTAACACGCAGCAGAGCTACTCCTTTCAGCAGCAGGGCTGTGCAGACAGTCACAGCTCATGACTGTTTACAGGAGGGAAGACACAAGCTCACCCACAAGTTTCACACGGCCAGAGCTAAGCAGAGTTGGGTCATCTTCTTGGACGTTTCTGATGGACTCATGTACCAGCTCTTTGATGTGTTCGACACCCACAGCTTTCCCTGTTGGGCCCATCTGAAAACAAGGAGCAGACAAACATTATCCTAAAATGTAGAGGGATGCATTTTATAGGGCGACCTACCTGTTGGAGAATTCAGGAAGAAGTTTCTGACCAAGATGCACATTCTGTGCTATCTCCGTTTTCAGGTTGAGTAGCCCAAGCTACTTCAGGAATATACAAGCATTTCCTATGGGGATTCCTAGTAATCCTCCCTTTCCAAAGCAATAATTTAGTAAAACTGATAGCTTCCTTGGCAGGACCAGTTCTTGATTAAGTAAGCAGCCTCCTAAGGAGGGTAACTATCTGCTTTACATTACATAATGCATGGAGAAGTTCAGGGAAAGATTACAACTACTTTACAAACAAAATAAGAAATTCAAGCTACAAYAAACTCACATAGTAGGTTAACACACTCTTCTCAATCTGCACTTTAACATACATCCTTTGGCAGGTACAACAGCCATTTAGATTCCAAAATGACTTTGTTTTTATTGCAAGCTGGTCAGGGAAGAAAAGAGGTAACCACACATATCAGAATTTTTTAAAAGGGAAGCGTGGGGAGAATTAACAACCTGATCAAGCTACCTGTCCTGACCTACATGACTAATCAGCAGGGCATCCTGTGCTCAGCTTACCATCCTGGCAAAGCAAGCTGTGAGATATCCACTTCCAGATCCAACATCCAGTGCCTTGGCACCTTCCACAAGCTGGTCCTTCAACAGCTCCAGGGCATGGGCATGCTGCGTGGACAAGAGTGACAAGAATGTGTGTAACATTGCAGAGAATGTGAAAAAGAAATAGCTTTGTGCAAATGCTATTTACACCATTATTCCTCTCCTCTCAAAACTGTTAGTTTCTTGGATGCTTAGAACACTAAGCCTTATCTGCTCTGATTTAAATACAACAGGTCTTTGCCTGACACATTCAGAGCCTGAGTGCTTGGTCAGAAACACCTTTTGCAAAAGAGCATTGGGGAAGCATTTCAGTAACTGAAGAGGAAACAGGAGAAAGGTCTTGCACAAAAACAGAACAACATTAATAGTTAGCCAGTAACACAGTAACACAGAATGTTGCCTGAGCAAAACAATTAAAATCCCTCATGTATACAGTATCTAAAGAAATAAACACAATAATCATGCACAGGCCACCTGTTCCACCTTCATACTGTAATATTAAAGAAAAAACTATTTTTTCCATTTCCAGTATAAGCGGAAAGATTCATCTCACCATATGTGGTGCACTGATTGTAGCCTTGTACCCTAAAAGGAAAACAGTGACAAAATTAAATGCTGGTTAGAGACAAAGGTGACAATGTCCAATTAGTTATCATCTCCAATATGAGCAGCTCCTTACTCTGTTCCCCAGGCCCCTAAAAAATATCAGCAGGCTCTTTGACCTCGTTAAACCACTTCCCTGACCTAAAATTTGCCCCCATGGGACTGCTAATTAGAGCAAGSCAGCTGATTCTTGCTACCTCCAGGGTCCTCCTGGCTCATTCACCCAAATGCTCTTCGGCTGTCTGTCATAACCCACATTTTGTTCCTGCTCCATAAGCGCAATTCCTAGCAAGCAGTGAAGATTTGAATATGGAAATGCGACCCAGTGGGAAGAATCCAGTGCAACTGTCAGTCTTTGGAAGGCAGGAGCATGTTCAGTTTCTCCAGGGGAAGGAGATCACAAGTAGATCCAAGGCTGTTAACCCACACAGTGGATCCCACAGCTGAAATAGGGAGGAAAGTTCATCTACTTGACCCATGTTAAAACTCAGCCACTGTTCTAAGGAGAAATCATGGAGCAACACAGTCCTGACACTCTATCTCAGGCCCCCAGGTTACTGGGACTAGYACAGCCAATGCAAACACCTTAAAAGCGATGCTACCCTGCCTGAATTTACTCACCAATAGACTGAGGAGAATCCATGTATGGGAAATACTTGATGTAGTGACCTCTGTCAGTAGCCAGCAATACATCAAAGACCCGCTGGGATTTAATTATGCCTTTTTCTGGAAGAGATAGAAAGAAAGAAGACAAAGCCCTGAGGATCACAGCAAGAAGAGATCTAGAAGAGCACACAGTTTAAGAGATTAGCAGTAAAACTGGGAGTCCTCGAATAAGCTATCCCAAAATAGACAAAAAAGAGGAGAAACCCACAAAACTGCATATAAAACGGTGTTTTTCAGTTTCTGGTACACAGAATGGAATCAGGTGATAAYGTCAGCCACCAGCACAGTCCCCTACAGAGAATGGCGAGTTGCAACCACAATATTTCTGCAACTGCCAAACACACTGAACAGTACCTAGAGAGTCACACACTCATTCCTAAGCACAGAAATTTTAGTCTGGGTTAAATAACACTTGCAGGATAAAGGAACTGAAGTTAAAGGCAAAGCCTACAGAAATATTCATCGTTCCTTTATTTCCCAGACCTGAGGGAACTCTTGCACGACGAAAACTGTGGAAATTTAAAGCTACTTTTAAGCACTCTCCGGGCTGCTGTTCAGCACATCACAGTAGCACCAAGCAGTGCTCCAGTCTTGAGACACCTACACAGATGGCAGAGAAGCTCAAGAGGCTGGCAATGATGTTCTGCAGCATTTTGAAGAGGTATCAATCGTTTATCACTTCAGGGGGAGTGGAAGGAAGGCCACAGATAGTCTTTCCTGCTATTTCTGSCATAACATCTTGCTTCCCGCTATAAATAGAGCGGCTTCAACACTGGGACAAACACTGGCATTCATGTGATACCAGCTCAGACGCTTCAGAGGGGGCAGCATTACAATCTGTCACGCTATGACATTAAATACCCTCATAAACACCAACAGACCACCAGCAGCTTTAAGCATTGCCCCGAACGGAGCCTCGGGCTGCCACTCACTGTACAGGTTGTTGACCAGCTCGGGGTGCGTCTTCCCGCTCGACGTCCAGGCCATCGTTCTGGCAAAGAGCAGTCCCATGAGCGCAAACACAGCCCGGCGCAGCAGCCAGCTCATCCCACACGAGAGGCCTGCCAGGCCTGGCCTATCTACCACAGAGAGGCACTACTAAATAAATAAATAAAATATAGAAGTCACAGCTTGGCAGACACCGCAAAGCCTTCACCTTTCCTTTGCAGTCGCTTGAATTCGCAGCTGTTGAGCTACCCAAAGCACCAGCGYTCACCACGAGGGACACGTTATCAGCCCCGGGCATTCAGCACTTTTAATTACCTGCCAGAACCCGGGGTAATTAATTACCCACCCGCCAGCCGCAGCTCTCCACGATGACAGCAGCTGCTTCGTGACAGGCCGGGACCCCCAAAAGCCCCCCAGGAGGAGCGGGGGGACCGACCACCGTGAGCGGGATCCCCCCCTTTTCCTTTCCTTTCCTTTCCCTTCCCGAAACGGTCCCCAGCCCCTGTGGGAAAGGCGGGTAACGGTAACGACGCCACTCGCCCCCCGCGCTCACCCGCGCAGCCGCACGAGGGCCCCCTGCGAGCCGTTATTACGGGCAACGGCCGCAACGGCCCGCCCCCGCCGCAGAGGCACTTCCGCCCTTTTCCAAGATGGCGCCTTGAGGGCATCAAAGACCCCTCCCGTCCAGCCCGGTGTGCCCGCCCACTGGAGGGCRGGGCGGCTAATAGGCGGCGTCGCCGTTGCCGGGGGAGCGCGGCGATTGGCCGGGGCTGGCCGTCAATCGCCCCGCGGCGAGGGGCCGTGGCGAAGGCGGCTTCCTGTGTTGGCGTCCGTTGCGGGGSGTGCGGGCAGGGGCGGCGGGCGCCATGAGGATGATCGAGAGCGTCGACCCTGCGGCGGGCGCGTCCGGCGAGGAGCTGTGGGCGCGGATCTGCTCGTGCCCGCCCGGCGGCGCCGCCGCCTTCGCCGACTCCTTCGCCGAGGCCTCCGCCGAGGCGGGCGGCCCCGGGGCCGCGGCGGGCGGCGGCGGCGCCAAGGCCTGGGCCCCGCTGCAGGACTCGCAGCTCTACCTGGCCTCCCTGGGTAGGTGTCCGCGGGGAGCCGCTTCCCCTTCCAGAGGGAATCGCGGGGTGGGTGGGGTCGGAAGGGGCCTCCGCGGTTGGGAGGGAGCTCCAGGGATCATCCATGTTGGAAGGG